AAATGTCAGTATGAGTTCTTGTGGATGCCCCAAGAGACTTGCCTTTGGGACGGTTGATGCTTTAATAGGAAAACTTCGAGCAATTTTTGCTGAACATGGCAGAGGTACGGAATGGCAGTCGATTTTGAACATTGGCAATCCGGCTGCGGATCGCTCGGTTAAAAGATGTTTGGCAGATACACGGGAGGAGCAGTTGAAAGCCAGAGTGGTTCCACGTCAAGCCAAGCGTATTTTCCTGAGTGATTTGGTGATCCTAGCCCGTCATATTCATTCCCAAATATTACATTGTGCGACGTTAACTCCGAGTCAGATCTATATTTTCGCGAGAGATCAGGCAATGTTTTAAGTGCTATTTTTTGTTGGAAATCGTGCCGCTGATTTACTTTTGTCCAAGACAGTTGAGATTTTACGTTTTCCTGTTAAGTCAGGATTCCTTTTTAACCATTTTTGGACGAACACATTAAGATCGGGGGATGCAAACGTGTTCGCACTTAAGAGAGGTTCCAGTTTAACTATCTGTCCTATTGGAGGGCTTGAGTTGTATTTTGATGTTTGTAAATCTTGAGGCATTAAGCTTTGTCCGGGTTTTTTGTTCCGTTTTGTAACCAAATCTGGAAATTTTTCACTAAGCATTTGGATTCTGAAGCGGCTCAGGCTAGATTGTGTGTATATACTACTTCACTGGGCGACCTATTATCTGGTGACCGTTATACTCTTCACGATTTTCGTAGTGGGGCGCCTGTTTCTTTAGCCTTGTCAGGGGTGAGCTTGCATGAGATCATGGACCATGTTGGATGGACGAATAGCTCGACAGCCTTGCATTACATGAAAATAAAGCAGGTGGTAAATCTTGCAGGTGCGGCTGCAAAGTTGGCAGATCTGGATGTCAAAATCTGAAGGACGTACATGAGCGAGCTGTATTGCATTATTGACTGTGTAGTATGTTGAGTCAGGCAACGGGCTTGGGGAAGGTCAGAGCGATGTCATGTCATGAAGAACAATACCCAGGGCAGAATATTACACAAACCAAACTGGACATTTGGTTTTTTGTACATGAGGTATATTCCGAGCCCTGGTTTAGATTAATCATTGTTTACTGCATATAAGAGTTCCTAAGGTGTCCAATCTAACTGTCATGAATTCACATTTTTGGTTTTTCATTTAAATGTATGCAAGCCCCTGTTCATAAAATCGATATCATTTTAAGCTAGTCTGCTCCAGGCTTTTGGTCAGTAACAAGGGACAACATAAAAAAAGCCTGTTCAAGGGGAGGGGGGCTTTTTCTATCCCATCCCCCCCCCCCCCCCCCCCCCCACCCACCCCCCCCCCCCCCCCCCCCCTTCCTTGGCCTGCCCACTTTTTCACATCACCTCTACTTACCAAAAGCCCTGAACAGCTTAATATCAAGCCATTATTGATAACAGCTATTGTTTATTGTTGCCCCAGGCTACACAATAAAAAGTAGGTCTGCAATGCGAACTTGTGTGGGATTTCAGTCAAATAAAAGTTGATGCTCTATGGATAAATCAGAGAAATTGTAGCTTTACAGTGAATATTTATA